AAACTTTAACAACTATGACAAATTGTTAAAGCCATTCATTGTCTGCTGCAAAATACAAGAAAAACATTTTTCTACAAATTAGACCTGTCACACACACACACTCTCTCTCTCTCTCACCTATCTCCTTATTTCCTCTCACGTCTATCTCCTTATTTTTTTTAACATAATTCTCTATTCTCTTCCAAATCCTTCCTAAACGATTAGTTCTAATCTATTCTCCAAAATCTTCTCACATAACAACTCACTCACCAAAAGCCTCCCTCCTCCCACTTAAACTTATCCTAGCGCAATTCCTATTCCTAGGAAAAATGAGCAAAAATAATAATAAAACAAATTGCAGATCCTCTCCTGTATGTGTGAGCATTCTTGAGCTTTCCATCGAATGACTTGGGGTTTGCATTCTAGAGTTTTTTCCTCCTGGTTCTTATAATCAAAAGTGGGTGACCATAAGGGGCAGCATTGAACTCTCCAAGTGCAAAAAAGAGATCAAATCCGACAAAAAGTATGTAACCTCCATCTGATTTGTGTATTTGAGTTTGTTACTGTAGTTTCTATTGCATCAGGAACCCCATTGATTTTTCAACAAAACCAAAGTTTCAAATCACCTGAACCCAAACGGCTTGCTCTAATTTTTGCTCTCTAATGCTATTTAACAATGTGCTCTTAATTTTTTTTGTTGAGATACATATAAAATCTCATTTAAGAGATCAAAACCCCTTATAAAATCATTACAAATGTCAAAAGATCAGCTTTATCTTTAGGGAAAATTGTGTGCATGTCCCCCTAATAAAATGTCCCTAAAAATATTGGTTTTTTGAGTTTCCAAAAAAATGGGGGTTAGTGCATTATGTATTTTTAGTATTTTACGAAATTGCATGAAAATCGAGACGACGTTTCTCATTTGAGTGTCTATTGATTTTGATATTATTTTTTATACTAATTTTAACACAATACTTTTACAATTTACAATTTTTTTTTATACTCCTTTTGTAATTTACAGTGAAGAAATGAGGGAGAAAATGATTTTTTGATTTTTTATACTAATTTTGTGGTATTAGTCGTCATCTTTCTCTATGATTTTTGTGTCGCACACATTGGTCCTTTCCCTCACGTACAAAAAGCACATTGGACATCTCTCTCTATCACATGTACATACACAAACAAAAATACAAACTTATTGGACTTCTCTCTATAACACAAACAGAGAAAGACAATGAACATCTCTCTCTCTCTCAAACATATCGGATCGGTCTTTCTCTCTCATAGCTTCCATTTTCATTGAGACTTTATTTGTTTTCTCTATTTAAATAACAAATATTTGGAAAATGTTAACGTATTTCTCAACTTAATCTACTTTGATGTTTTTATAATTTTCTTAATCTCATGTTGCATAGGTAGAGGGCGTAGTTTTTTTGTAAGACATCGCATGGTTATTTAGAGAATTGAGGGGAGAGAGTATTGAGGAAAGGGGGCAGACATTTAAAGAAAAAATTTATATAAGTGCGAGGCTCTAAACAATCAAACTAAGACACACATAAAAAATTTCACTAGAAGAGCTTGTTTTGATACTAAAAAATCCTCAAATTAATCATCTAGATCTCAAATGCATGGACATGAGAAGAAATAGATTTCAAGTTTTGAAAATAGTGCATCTTGTAATGCATTTTTGGACTGTCAATTTTCAAGATTTTCAAGTTTTCATTGATCTATTTGATATACACTATTTTTGAAGCTTTAAAATTTATAATTAGAGATGAAAAGAAATTTTAAGGCTATCATAAAGACTTATAGTATTGAAACCAGATTCCTCGACACTATTTGAATGTACGTTACTTTGATTGTTTAGAGCCTCAGCCTTATACAAACCGCACCCATCATCAAATCCCACATCGAAAACGTGGGAAGAAAAGGGGAGGCTAGGGAACATTAAAAACGTATAAACATGAAAATATAAATTTAGGAACATATTTTAAATAACGAGAATTTGGGAGATATGTATAAATTTTCTTATTTTAATTTTTATTTTATTTAGGTTTCTTTCCAAAAAATATTTTTTAAAATATCTAAATTACCCTTGTTGAATCTTTTAAGTAAGACATTTCAATATTTTAACATATAAGAAACTAATGCATTATATACAATAAGACCATTTACCTATCATACAAGGAAGCCATAATTACTTATAACTATCCAAGATGAAATCTAATAGCTTAGGTGTGTCATAAAGTTCGAGAGAATTTATTTTTAACTTTGAATGTGGTCAATAGAATAAATGTAACCACCCAATTTTAAATCCAGTGGTCGATATTAATTGAAAATTTCTTTTCAACTTTGAATGCGGTCACTAGAATAAATGCAGCCACCCAATTTTAATTCCAATGATCAAAATTAATTGTGACTACCTTATACGAAAGGTTAATAGTATTAATCTATACTTTTTTTCAAATATAAAAAGGTTTTCCTATTGTTTGAAGCTTCTTAGGGTCAAGTTACTAGGATACCCGTTCAAACTAAAATTAAAGGAAAATTTTTATATAAGGATGCAACCTTATTTGTACAAATAAGAATATATTATTCTACATTGTTCACTTTATTTAGACGGTATGAATTTTAGTTATCTCAAAAAATAAATCATGTATTATGACTATTTGAAAGATGTGTTAATCCATACCATCCAAACAAAATTGGCATTATAGATTATTGCAATCTTAGTTTTACATAAGAAGATTGTATCCTTATACAAATTGCACCTAAAATTAAAAGGGAATAGTTCAAATTAGAGCTTACCTCAAAAATTTCACTAGAAGAGATTGTTTGGATGCTCAAATATCCTCAAATTGATCATCTCGACATCAAGATACATAGACATGAGAAAAAATGGATTTCAAGTTTTAGAAATAATGTATTGCATAATGCATTTTTGGACGGCCAATTTTCAAGATTTTCATCGATCTACACTATTTTTGAAACTTTAAAATTTATAAATAAAAATAAAAATAAAAATATATTTTAAGGCTATCACAAAAATTTTCAATGTTAAAACCACATTTTTCGACACTATTTGTAGGTAGGTTTTAATTTGGTTGTTTAGAGCCCAGGCTCTATACAAACCGCACCCAAATTAAAATAAGAAATTAAACCTCCCATTGGTAACCCTTCGTGATTTTGCAATAACATTTTCCGTAAAAAAACCCTCTCATTCTTACTCGTCAACCGGGAGCTCCTGCGGCTTATGGCCAAAAAACCCCATAAGTGTTACTGGCAGTGGCAACTAATATGAAATGGTCATTCGTGTTGAGGGGGTGAAGAGTACATATTCGTTCTGCTTCTCCCTCTTGCGAGAAGCTCCCCCGCCCCTCTCTCTATCCATCTCCCTTCATTTCTCTCTCTCTGCTTTCCATTTGCTCTGCTCTTGCGGCCATAGTTGCAGGCGCAAAGCAGGTCAAACATGAGCGGGCACGACTCCAAGTATTTCTCCACCACTAAGAAGGGGGAGATCCCCGAACTCAAAGACGAGCTCAATTCCCAGTATAAGGTACGGACTCCACACTCTCTCTGTCTCTCTTGAGAAATTAGGTCTCTTTCATCTTGGATCTGGTACTTATTTTCTGTCTCAATTCCCCTTCTGTTTACTCTCTCTCTCCCTCTCTACCTCAATCAATTGGGTCTCTTTAATCTTGGATCTGTGTGGTTTACCTCTTATCACGCTTTGTTTTTTATCCTCAAAAAGTAAGGTGCAGGTGACCTTTGCACGTTAACTTGTGGTGCATAAATGTGATGATACTACTAAACTAGTTTTCTCGAATATTACTACGGGAGCCCTTTTGCTAGATCTGTTGATTTTGAATTCTTGAAGCTGATCCATTGTTGTCTTATTGTATTCTTTCTCTTAATTTTTGGAACCTCTTGGATTTTAATGTGTATCTATAATCTATGTTGATGATAATTGATTAATTAGTTTTTGCTTGTTTATTTGGTTGTCAAGAGTCTGTTGACGTTAACTTTTGGATGTTCCGAATTTGTAAGGTCGCTGATTTTAGCAGGGATCAATTTGATCCCTGATTTCTCGATTCCTAATTGTAGCCATGGTTCTCTTACGGGAACTTGACTCTTGTTCCAGACTTTTGTTGAATTTGAGGGCTGGATCGTGGGCTGATGGATTAATTGGTTGTCTGTGATAGGTAGGAGAATATTTTTCACTGGCCTAGAGCATCTAGTACATCAATCCTCGGTTAAAGCGTAGTGATGATCTCTTTGATTATTTGATTTCTCATACATAATTGGGGAATTTGTCTTCACTTCAAAATTCCCAGCTTATGATATATTTTGATTTCTGTGATTTTTTTATTTTTTAACTTGATTTTGTTTGTTGTGTATACATTTTGAATGCTTAGTTAAGTATATGTGGAGGTGTTGGTTTAAGCTCAATTTCTCTATATGATAAGCTTCAAGCTTTCAAGGGAGTTTGGGTATGTTTGCTGTGTTATTAGAACGAGAGCTAAACTAGCTGTCGCATATAGGATGGAGTTATGTTTCCAATCTTTTATTGCTATCTTCCAATGGATGGTGTGCTTTTGATAACTTTCTTTCTTTTTTTCTTCTTTTTTGTTTTTGTTTTGGTTATGGTCCATTCTTATGTCCTTCTTTGCCCATCCATTCCTATATAGATGTTGCCTGTTATTGGCCTGTAAGTATCCATCATCTAGAAACTCTAGTAAGGTGTGTAGACCGTTTAATCAATTGTGTGAAGACATTTGGAATTGTTAAGTGAGAAAGGAATTTGTCATGGTTCTGCTAGTTTTATTAGTTAACCAAACTGATTCAAGCCAAATGCCAGAGGGAAAAATTGATCTTAACTCAGAATTTGGCTTAATTAGGCTTCACAACCTTTGTCAACATTAAAAAAAAAAAAACGCATTGCAACTTTTAGGTTTTTGCAAACCTTGTAATGGCAGGTAACACAGGTTTAACTTGTTATCTACCATGGATATGCTTTCCCATTTAGTTGTTAAGAAGACATATGAGGTCTTCCATCATTTGACCCTCTCAACCCTTTTATTGTCATGTGTGTACCACCTAAGTAAATACATCACCAGAAAGTTTAAATAATGGGTTAATAATTTGTATAACCAGGTTGCATCTAAGAATTTCAAGAAGACTATGCCCTCAGGTTGGCTAACAAAATGTTAATTAGGTTGCAACTTCTCTGATCTTTTCATCCATTTGCCCAGTGAAAATTATTTCCTACTCACGCTAGAGTTTTCTATGACCAGTTCAACATTAATATGTTTTTTGGAGTTCAAGGCATAACCATCATGAGCTGTGGATGTTCATAGTTGGAATTAATGGGATATCTTCTTTGATTTAATCAGAGTGGTGGAAGAACTTATGTGAGGATACGATGCATACTTTTTTATGCACAAAACCCCAATGTCCCCAAGGTCTCACTTTTTAATATTTTTTCATGCAAAAATAAAGGTTTAGCATGGTACTGTACATGTGAGAAGCATGTAAAACCTCCCCCTAAGAGTTTCCATGGGTTTGGCAATAACTAGGATTTGGGGTTGTACTGTTACAATTTAGGGATGGCTTTTCTCTGAGAGAGGGGTTTTAACTTTTAAATTTTAAACATCCTGAATAACTTGAAGGAGATGTTGGGTTTACAAATATTTTTCAAATACAAGTTGCTGAAATGACCGAAAATAGGAATGGCAAAAGCAGTTGCATGCTGTGGCCATGAAACATTGGTTAGGACTAGCGACTTCTGTGCTTCTCCAAATTTTGTAAGGACTGGGACTGATCTTGGACCTCATCCACATTCAAATGTTGGACCAGCTGATCCATTATGGTTCTATAAACACTGGATTATGGTGTTGCTGTTTCTTTATTTATCATGAATTTGAGAGATACTAACTCGAATTGTTTCACATCAAATTATCAGAGAGTTACACAGTTTGTCATTGATATCTAAAATTTGGCTGAAAAGCTGATTATTTTGTTTCCATTTATGATCCTACTGAATGATTAAAGAAGTTGGCGGAGTTGCAAGTCATCATCATCATCGAAGCCTTTCCAAACTAATTGGGGTCAGCTTCATAGAGTCGCCGCAAGTGACTGACAAAAATTTGAACAACACAGAAGTTTTGACATGTAAATTGTAAATTTCTGAGTTGAGAATTGACAGAAAAACTTGGGAAGACATGCTGTTAGCTGTAGTTTACAACCTTGAGTTCTACAATCTATAATATTTCATCACTCTTACAATTTTCCAAAAAAAAAAAAGCAAATTATTTGATCACTCTTTTGGTGACATGATGTACAATGCCGATATTACTCTACAAGTTCTTTACTTTGTGTAATTAAATATATCATGCCAGTTTGTTCAAAGAAAATCACCTGGATGGCAACTTATAGTTAGAATGTAATTAAATACAATCATTAAATCTGGATGATTATGGAAAACATACCAACTGTTTTTACTAGAAAAAGAAACACACTGTAGTTTAAGTGGGCCCCTGGAAATCATGGTTGTTTGAAAGAGATCACTGAACACTGCTCTTAATTGGGTGGGTCATCTGCACTCTGGAAATTCCGAATATGATGTTGGCTACTCTAGCTCATCAAATTGATATTGTTGGCAACTTAGTATGCCTATGAATTTGGAGGCTTGGAAAACATGATCTTCTATGCTACCACACTTGGGGAAATGGTACCATTTTCTTCCATCACGGGACAATGATTTTCTGGAATTCGTGGAATCATATTAACTTTTTAGGTATCATTGACTTTATGTAGTATTTGTGTGAATATACGGAGGCAATGGGAAAGACCTTCCATGCTGCCACACTTTGGGAGATGGTCCTTTCTCTGGTTCAGGGCATTCATGGTTGTTATTGCAAGGTGCTGGACTTTTACCTATCAGTGTTGTGCCTTTCACTCTCGAGCTAAGGAGGTCCATTCTTTTGTGCTCGAAGGCTTTGTGGAACCTAATTTTAAAGGTGGCTTTAGAGCCAATTTGCAGAAGCTAGTTTTGCATTCATGTTCATTGTTTTGAGCTCCCTCTGGAGTCATGGTTCCATGTCCGGAGACTCGACTAATTCACCATGTTATCAAGATTTATGGCTCTCTTTGTATCTATCTCTAATTTTCAGGGGGGAATCCCTTAATGCTGTCCATTTGGTTATTGTTTTAGGCAAGTCGCATAGTTTAGGTGGAATAACAGTATTGTTCATTTGAGATTTTCTTTTGGAGTTTTTAGATGTTCACTAGGAGCCTAGTAAAGTGGGTGATGTTTCAAGTTTTCATCTAAATTTGGGATTTTTATTCGACCTTGTATGTATGAGATGAATTTGATCCTCTTGATTGAGAGCCTTATGTTGTTTCTCTTTCCATCAGTGAAGTTTGTATTAATACGAAAGTATATGATGCATTTGACATGCATTATTACCCTGCTATGTATCCTGTATTTTTTTATTTCTAAATGTTTCATATGTGTAAAGGCTCTTGTCTTTTTGTTAAGCATGTTTTGACTATCATTGAGTTAATCTTTCCATTATGTGTTGGGAAATTATCGTTAAACATACGAACACACATTATTTGATTGACAAGGTAATGTACAATTGATTGTCACAAAAACTTAATCCTTTATATGAGAACTCTGTAGCACAGTATCATCTAGACCTCTTGAAGCTCTAGCTCATAGGTAACGTGTGTTACTTGTATGTTATGATGATTGTTTTGGAATTAGTATCATGGCTCTTTCATTGTTGGGAACTAGTTCCCTGAAGCAGAACGGTGTGCGTTTTCTATCTCTGAGGCATTATAAAATTTGTCTGCGAATTAGAATTTTGCAAATGCCCAACAGTGGGTTCACATAAGCAATTCTGTATCATCCGAATTTCAGCAATAAAAGGACGAAGTTATTGAAAAGAAATTATCATTGAAGTGGTCATAAAATCAAAGATTACACACTCAAACTTCTATGTTTTTCTATTGTTTTATTGTACTGAATTTCTATTTACAAAGTCCAGCTCAAATAAAATCATAGAAAACACACTAATTATGAGATTCTTGCTTTTTATATCGTTCCTTTAGGATAAGAAGAAGGATGCCGTCAAGAAGGTGATTGCTGCAATGACTGTTGGCAAGGATGTTTCATCATTGTTTACTGATGTTGTGAATTGCATGCAAACGGAGAATCTGGAGTTGAAGAAGCTCGTTTATTTGTATCTTATAAACTATGCAAAAAGCCAGCCAGATCTTGCTATATTGGCTGTAAATACATTTGTTAAGGTACGTCTATGATTTGCTGCCATCTCTATTTTGAATGCAATTACATGAAAAATAGTTTATCTGATGAATGTTTTGGGAAACCTAGTGGCTGTTTGTGCTCATCTGTAGTGATTTATATGCTGTATATTGTAAATTTGCGAGTGATGCATGGTTTTGCTGGTTAGATAACAGAGATTGTTTTGTAATTCTCTTTGGCATGTTACATTATGGGCTCTCATAATATGGGGTTGCATTTTGTTAGATTCTAAAATAATATGTTATCTCTGTGGTCTACCTGAAGAAATTTGTGACCTTTTTTAGGGCTGAAATATTTGAGATTTATAAAGCACATTTTTTGGGGAAATGTGACAAAAATCAGTAAAGAGTCTCTCTTCTGGAATGTTATATTGGTATGTGTGCTGCAATTTGAGATTATTGCTTTTGTAGTAAATCATTATCACTGCTTTACATAACCTGTGTTGAAGCCTCATTCTTCTTTCATTCTTGGATTTTGTTGGCGTCCATTGTGACAAGAGTCTTTTAGCAACCAGGTATGATGTGGGCTTCGATTAACCAAAAAAAAAGAGAATAACTATGCTGCAGTCCATTAATTGTGTTATACCTCATTTCATTCATTGACTAACTTGGGAAAAATATCAATCAGTGCCTATAGCTCTTAAGAAAGCCTTGTACGTGCTCCAAGACATAGTCACTGGGATCTTCCATCCAAGGGGTTGATTCCTCTCTGGAATCTCGTTTTTGCTCTAAAAGGAAGAGACTCTTGCTCCTTTGTGATTTTTAAATTTTGGAATCTCACTCCTTCATCTTAGGGGTTGAGATCTTGAGTTACAAGGGATCTAGATTCCCTAGCATTATAGTATATTGTGTGGCAGTGTGGTATGGCATAGTAGTAAAGTATAGCAGTATAATATAGTCTAGCAGTATGGCATGGTGTAATAGTAATATACTATATAGTACAGTTACTGTGGGATATATTACATAGCTGTATATAGTAAATTTAAATATAGTTGCATATAGTACAGTATAGTACAATATAGTTTTATAGTATGCTGTAGTATAGCAGTATGCAGTGTTGTATAGTATAGTAAGATACTGCTGTACTAGTTAAGTGCTCTCAGGGATCTCAATTTTAAACTAGACGGGGCTCAGTCCTTTATAATTTATATCCTATGAAGTTTGAATCGAGCTCCCCACATATTGGGGTCAAGATACTCGATTTCAAGGTTTTCGGACTTCAATTCTGACTATAAGGAGCTTCTTGCTTGTCACGATCCCATGGTTCTGGTCCCGATTCTAGATCTCATTCAATCCCAATCATGGTAATTATGCTCCAAAAAAGAGAAAATGTAGGCGCATAAAGCTTTGCAATGACAAGAAGTTTCCTAAAACATTGACATTTAATTATGACCATTTTACCCTTAGCATGTACAAATTATAAGCTTTAAATTCTGAGGTGCTTTCTGAATTTGGAAATTGTCTAATAATTACTGATTTTATCTGTAATTACATTTGATCTGGAATACTGTTCATTTTACTATTCATGATAGGGATTAGACATGATGATGTAAAACAGTTTACTAAGGAGTGCATTTTGGCAAAATTGCAGCTTTCTTTGGAAAGATCCATCAACTCATTCTAGCCCGGTTTAGGTGTCACTATGTTGGCAGTAAGCTGGATATCGTTTGCCACATCCTGTTTGCATTAGAAAAGTCCTGCAAAATGCCGCTGATAAGCGGTTATTTGCATTCTATTTGGAAAGGCTTTTTTCCCTCTTCTCATCTTGATTACGTGGCACACAATGGAGTACTGCATCTAATGCATTTGTACCTCATGCAGTAGCACCTTTTATGATTTTTTAGAGCATCTGCATCTCTTATGCATATGCCACAATCATTTAGGGGTCATGTTTCCTTTAAAAGGTTCATTTAAATATGTTGTTGGGAGATTTTAGAGCACTTGCATCTCTTATGCATATGCCACAATCATTTACGGTCATTTTTCCTTTAAAAGGTTCATATTTATATTTAAAATGTTGTTGGGATAACGGTCGAATGATGATGATGATATTTCAAAATGTTCATCTCATACCATAATGCATATTTTTGAATTTTATTTATATTATGTTTTTATAATTCTGATGATGATATTTCAAAATGTTTATCTCATACCATAATGCATATTTTTGGATTTTATTTATATTATGTTTTTATAATTCTCATTTTATATACAAGTATCCTCTGACTATCTGGTATTAGTATTGTTACCCTATTGTGACGACACCAAATGAAGATCAAAATATCTACATGTAATATTTACTCTAGAAAAAAATTCAGAAATATTGACAATAGAAAGGTGAATTTGATGGGAAACTAAGTGGTGTTCACTTAAATGGGATCTTCTCTTATTCCAAACAAAAGATGGGCTTGGTTGAATATTCACATTATCTAAGACACTCAGCTACATATATTGACAATGGTATGGGAGCAGGGATGACTCGGCTTTCCTAAATTTTAGGATAAATACTTTAGAAAAGTGTCCTATCTGACACATTGTGAGATATATATAAGAAGCTTCTGTAGTAAACATAAAATTATAATATATAGCATATAATTAATGAGCCAAACTATGAAGCTATGGGAGAGTGTGATTGAGCAGCGACTAAGGCATGAAACGTATGTATCAGAAAGTTACATTGGTTTTATGCTAGGGAGGTCAACAATTGATGCTATTTTCCTGCTTAGGCAATTCATTGAGAAGTTTAGGGCGAAGGACAAGCACCTCCACATGGTAGTTATTGATTTAGAGAATGCTTATAATAGAGTACCTCAATATTTAATTTGGTGGGTATTGGAAAAAAAAGGAGTCTTCAGATACTATATTGACTTGGTTAGTACAAGGGAGTGCTAATTAGTGTGCGAACAACTAGTGGAGGGACGAGTGAGTTTTCAGTGACAATAGGTTTACACCAGGGGTCACTGTTGAGCCCATACCTCTTTGTGTTAATTATGGATGACTTAACTAGGCACTTACAAGGTGAGGTATAGTGGTCTATGTTATTCTGGATGACATAGTTTTGATCGAGGAGATCCAAAGCGGCGTCAACACAATGTTAGAACTTTGGAGGGATGCTCTCAAATATAAAGGTTTTAAAATTAGCAGGACCGAGACAAAGTATGTGGAATGCAAGTTTAGTAATAATAGGAGTAGAGACGAGGAAGCAATTAAGATTGACAACCCAAAAATACAAGAAAAGAGCACACTTTCAATATCTTGGGTCGATAATCTAGGAAAATGGAGAAATTGAGGAAGATATCACACATAAAATTAGAGATGGGTGGACGAAGTGAAGATGTCCAATTGGAGTTTTATATCGCTGCATTACCAATGAAGCTGAAAGGGAAGTTCTATAGAATGGCTGTGAGATCAGCTTTGCTTTATGGGGCGGAATGTTTTGCGGTCAAGAACAACATACCCATTGTATAATTGTAGTTGAGATGAGGATGTTGAGATGCATGAGTGACAAAATAAGGAGTAGAATTCAAAATGGATATATTCAAGAGAACTTAAGTGAGGCTCCAAAAGACGATAAGATGAGAGAAAGTAGACTTAGATGGGTTGGGCATGTGCAGCGTCGACTCAGTATAATATCTGTTAGGAGGTGCGAGTTGATTCAAGTTGAGGACTAAAAAAGGGCAAGAGGTGGGCCCAAAGGGACATGGTTGGTGAGAAAAGATATTGGGACTTATGGCCTCATTGAGGGTATGGTTGATAGAGCAAAATGGTGGAATAGGATTCGTGTAGCCGACCCCAAATAGTATATAGCTTAACAATAGATTGTATATATTTATATTTATTATATTTAATATTATATTTATTTTTTTATTATTGATATCATATTAATATTATAGTGAACCTTTTCTCTGAAAAAAAAGATATTATATTAATAATATATCCATGTTTTATTATAGATATCATTATTTTAACTCATAACTGACACGTTATGCTTCTGTTATGTAATATTTTATCGCTTATATTATTTTGTTCATGACGCACAAGGTATCCTAGAAGTACCCAGTATGGGTATCAGTGTATGTCCATGCTAGTATGTTGAGCATTTACAGGTATCTGAGTAACTTAGTTTGAAATCTTGGGGTGCTAATACGTATCATGCTTTTAGAGAATACTTAGTGTTTATCTTCTTTAAAGATATGAAAATGCATTTATAGTTTGAGAAGCATTCATTTATCTGTTGGGGTTGAATGGAAGAAATAGTTTTGTGGGCACCTATGTGATTTTTATCTTCTAATTACTTTTGCAGGATTCGCAAGACCCAAATCCATTAATCCGTGCTTTAGCTGTACGAACAATGGGATGCATTCGTGTTGATAAAATCACTGAATATTTATGTGACCCTCTTCAAAGATGTCTTAAGGTGCCCTGTTGCCATCTTACCATATATCAGTTGGTTTTTCATCAATGTTAATTTGATTTAGTGAACTTTTCCTGGCTTATAAATATCGACAGGATGATGATCCTTATGTTCGGAAGACAGCATCAATATGTGTTGCGAAACTGTATGATATAAATGCTGAGCTAGTGGAAGACAGGGGTTTCCTAGATACTCTCAAGGATTTGATCTCCGATAGTAACCCGATGGTGGTAGCAAATGCTGTGGCTGCACTTGCAGAGATTCAAGAAAATAGTTGCAGACCGATCTTTGAAATCACCAGCCACACCCTTTCAAAGCTCTTAACTGCTTTAAACGAGTGCACTGAGTGAGTTTCTGATGAATCATTTCTTTTTCTTTTCTTTGTGACATTACTAGCAATTTGTTTTCAATGAATATGCTACAAATGAACAATTGAGATATCCCCAGCTGATTTCTATGCATGAGATAGAATATGCACATGTTGCATGATATAGGGATATAATAAGAATGCAAAGTTAGAATGCGACAAAATATAATATCTCCCAGTCCCTTCAAGAAGAGTGTGTTCACTTTATCCTCAGATAATGAGTTATTCCTCTCTTCTTCCGTGCTATTAGTTGGATGATTTGATCATCATATGAGATAAATTCGGCATTAGCCCTTCCTACTTTAGGGGGTCAAATTATTATTGTCATACTGTGCTTTAGTAGAAGACAGAAAATGCTCTTTTTCAATAGATTGAAGTCGTGGAGTATCTAGGAACTGTCATTTTGATCTACTCAATGTTTTAAAAATCGCTGGTCCGGATTGGAAACCGCTGATAGGGATCGGTAATCTTTGGAGAACAATCTGGTTCTTGGATGGAATTGGCAATTTTTGAGTATATATAATATTATGTGTCTATTTTAATTCAAGAAACTCGAGTAGTTTTGTTGGCTAGCATGTACGGTTTCTGGGCTTCAGGGCAGAGGTTTGAGCCCACTCAAGCGCATTCTCTCACTTTACAATCCAAAATGTTGTCTATTTTTAGGAAAATAAATAGTGCTCTTAAGGAATTCAAAATAAAATAAATGCCCATGAGCTGTTTTGATCCACAAACCTTGTGCAAAGAACCACACTATGTAACCAAGAAGCCAATTGGACCTTGTTATGAGAAAGATGTACGTCACATCTTATATTGTATTATTTTTTTTATTTTTATTTTTATTTTTTTTAACCTTTGCCAGATCGCCGATCCAGATTATCGATCTGGCCAAGTCGAACCAGGATTGGTGGGTGGACGATCCACCCCACTAATCCGTGTTTTTAAACACTGGATCTACCTATGGTAAAAAGGTTTATACATTTATTTCTATGGCTTCTGACTTTTTTTTTTCTATGGCTTCTGACTTTTTTATACTTTGTGGTTTTAAACATAAACCAAGTCTTTCCCAAGATATCCAAGATCCAATATCATCTAAGCTACACAAAATACGTCGAGGACTTGACTGACCACAACAAAATGTTTATTGAAGTGAAATGGGTCAACTCTGCTATCATTAAATAGGCTCAGGCCGTAAAGCATTATGTTTGTATTTCTTTGATAAACCATTTTGTCCTTTGGAAAAGCTATATAATCATCGTATTTGTATCATTTACTGGAATTACATTAGCTGGTATCATGGTGTCTACAAATGCATGCTTGTGCTGATCTGCAACTGCATTCAATTTCTCTTCTATCTTCAAGGTTTATGTTTTCACCTTACACACACACACACACACACACACACACACACACACACACACACCACCCCCCCCCCGATAGGTGTCACTTCCAATGAGTGGTAATTTTGTTTATGCTTGCAATGATCAGATCTTGATCGAATGTCGAGAGTGCATATTACTATTATTTTATCTTTTTACGAACCAGATTGAGTTGAAATTTGATGGAGAGAGTGACTTGATTGGAACACCAGAAAAAAATATAAGACAGATATTTCCAAAATTTTATACTGACTGAGGTTGCTCTGAAATATTTTGGGTGTATATTGGTCATTTTATACTTTTGGAAATATTTGTTTTATATTTTATTCTAGTGCTTGATGTTATTAAAGTACACAACCAAAATTCAGCTCGATACCATTCGTAGATAAACGATTAAAAATCAAATTCTGCACGCTCGATCATCTAATCAAAATCTGATGGCTGGAAGCATATGACGAAAATTGTTATTCATTTTAGGTGACAACCTATTGTGGTTTTTTCCATACACACTCATATATAATGTAAAGAATATGCTCTTGCGTGTTTATATGTATATAATTTATTATTATAATGTTTGACATGTAATTAAATATTTATAAACAATTGAACACTAAAACTTGTTTGATAGGAAAAATTGAAAGTTTAGCAGTAGTTCGGGGAATGTTGTATCACCTTTCACACATAACAACCACAAAGATAGTAGGATTGCCGTACTACTGATTGCTCCATGTCCTAGTCCATAAACTGCTGTTACTCAATTACATAAGCACAAGTCCAAAATATGTAGAAAACAACACGCAACAAATTATAAACAAAATGAAATGAAGTGAGTCATTTTTAATCGTCATTTTCTTCACCACCCTCAACCTACCACCTCCATCTGATTGCATGCCATCATCCTAGAGTCATCTCCTCCAACAAAATTACCATCCTCAGTCTCTTTGAATTGTCGTTGTTGTCCTCCTCCTCCTTTTTGACAATGTCATTCCACCTCTTTGCACCAGGCCTAATCATTGGTCTAGTAGGCATTCTAGGGTCGGAAGCAAGTCCCAAATCCTCCTTAACTATATCTTAGGTCAAACCCTCTATAGGGAAGGCCTTTTCTGCTCCCAGATCAAGGCCAAACAATGTCCTTATTTATGTCCTTCATAACAACAGGATCATTCTCGTCTCCTTAAGCCTCTGATTATACTAGATTGACACACATCATCTGTGTCTTTTGCTTAAGCCTATTCCTTTTCTTTTTATGCACCTATGGGTAAATGCAGAGCAAGATTTTAGACAATTACAGTTATACAATGAACTTAATTAAGTTATAATCATACATTTGTAACTTGTATCTTGCAAAATGAAGGAATAAATATTTAATGAATGAATATGGCATATTATCTATGGGAAAGGTTTCGATACTTCCCCTATTGTATAGAACTTATATACTTCTCCTCCATCCAGCCGTCCAATTTAGATCAAATAAGCCATTGATAGTTTGATCTAAATCTGACGCCTCAGAGTATTTTATTTTTAATTTTTATTCTACAAAACATATGAATATGAAATTTGGTACGTGCTATCATCTCAATGAGGTTATCCTAAACAAAATATAAAAAAATATTTCCAATAAAATAAAATAAGTAAAATAAACCTGAAACTTTCAGGGGTATTTTGGTCATTTTATTCTATTGGGAATTGTTTTTATATTTTTTACAGGTGAGTTTAAGAGAGGAGTAGACGCCCAAAATTTGGTGTCAAAATGTTTTGCAGAAAAAAACATTAGAATAAAATGGTGTAGAGGCGTGATATTGTAATTGGATCCATCTTAGCCGTTCATTCAGATCTGATGGCTAGATAAGGGGAAGTATAGAACTACCAGTCTACCATACATTAGGGGAAATATAGAAAGCTTGCACATTATATATTTTGCAAGTTTCCATCTCAAATTAATCTAATTGCACACTCAACTACGCACATTATATATTTTGCTAGTTTCCATCTTAAATGAATCTAATTGCTCACTCAACTGGCTGAGCTACATGTCAAGTTGAATATGCTGGATGGCCGGGCGCTACTCCCATGTTGGACCAACATTACTCTCCATTCTTTAAAATTATAACTTCATGTTTTTAATTAAAATATTTTTCCTCAAAAATTTTTTTTTAATTAGAAAAAAAAATCAAATATATACCTTATGAAGCTACGAATACTGAAATTACATGTAGTATAATGCATAAAATTTATGAGTTACTAAGGCTCCAAAACTTCAGAAACAGACGAATTAGAAAGTTCTCTTGGATCCGAATTTAGTCTTAGTCTCACAGGCATTTCCTTACTGAAAAATCTTAATGCGCCCTTGCATAACATCACCCCTTTAGGAGATATCTTATCTTGGATATCCTTATCAGGGTCGAGCCTCTGAACACATTCAATAAAGCTTATCCATAATTGAATCATCATCATCATCATCATCATCATCATAAGAGCCTTGTCCGTAATTGCATGCTTTCTCTAAATATCCAGGTCTGTATAAAAAAATTTTGGGCTCAAATGGTGAAGCTGCTAATCTCACTTTGTTTGCAATCTCCCATATTGGGCTATACATGCTCTCATCATTACCCTGGGCCTCAGCTAATTTTCTCTTGGTTCCCTCTAATGCATCATGTATATAACCTATGCTGGCTCCACCTCACTACCCGCACGGAACTATAGTTTGACCAAGCTCCAGAATACCACAAGTTAGTATACTGCTCCACTTCAAAAAGACTAACAAGACAATATCATGCACCCTTTTCCAATGAGTTTGCTTGTACCGCATATATTTAGGCCAATCCTCTGAGGTGAACACAGCTTGCAATTTGTTTCTCCAATCCAGAATACTTTGTAGAGTTAGGAAAGAGTGCAAATCTCGTAACCTTTGCCTCAGCATCTCCCTCTTCTCAGTGAACTTCTGCATCATGCTACGATAAGGCTTTGATTGTAGATAAACACACTCAATGACCTGAGCTTTATCAAGTGTCCCCTTTACCTTTGCATGTCACCAAGGGCCTCAAACATGAGGTCTATGCAGCGTGCTGCACATGGCGTCCAAAAAAATGCAATGCTGCTTTTGGTGCAACAAATTAGCAGCAGACATTGGTTGCAGCCATTTTGGTAACGGATTATCTATATAACATACTTCTCTTAACCTCCCCAATACCCTTGTCAACCAGAAAAAAGTAGATATAGTGTCCATCGTAAGCATTAGCAAAAATATCAGTAGACCTTAGAAACGTTTATAATTATAGAGGAGAATTCATTAAAATTCCTGCTTGTACTACCACTCCATGAATCTGTCATCATATTGCACCCACACATGCCTATGGGTCTTGAGGTACTTCTTTGTGAACTATACCTCTTTTTTGAATAGTGTCTCCCTAATCTTTTAAGGGGGTTGGGCTATTCAGCCTTGGATCATATTGGCCAATGGCCTCCAACATTGTATGGAAGCTTTTTAGGTGAGTGAGCACCATTGGAAGCAAAGCCCACCTAATACATCCACCGAGCAATATATTGACTTACCTGTCCTCAATCTTCCTCCTTACACTTGTTTGCTTCCCCCCAATCATTTTCTGTGGTCATGGGGCAAGGGGAAAAAGGACATGCATAGGCCCCTTCAAGTGGTGCTTCTTAAACGCAGTTGATCCTGTTTTACTACCTCAAGAGGAACCAACTCCAGTCTTGTTTTCTGTATTTTTCATCACCAAGCGTAATAATCTCGACTTCCAAATCTGTCATGCTTGCGTTCTTTGACACCTTTTCCTTTTTTCCAGCATCGAAAAATTCTTTTATCTCCTTCCTAATATTTGTCAAACTCTTGCATGGGGCAACATCCCACTATTATTGACAAGACAGTTTTTGATTTTATTAATACCCTCGTTTGTATCTTGTTCACAATGATTGCAACAAACTATATTTGGATCATTCTTATGTAGGCAATAACCATATTTCTAACCTAGATCCCCTCTCCTATAAGAACTAGAAGAAGACGTCTTGAAAGATCTCAAATAAATGGAAATTTAATTAAAAATGACTCTTATTCCTTGATTTGATCTCCGATCCTCCATGTCTTGGATGAATCCTAAGCTTTCATCACCCAAAATTTCCTCTTATAACCTCTTTTGATATTTCACAAAGAATGAATAAGAAAAATTTGGACTGATTTGATTTCTCAAATATACTTCCTTTCTTCAATCTTGAAAGGTGGGGGCACTTTGTAATGCCCCCAAATATCTTAAACACACCCCAACTCTCTCCCCCCCCCTCCTTGTCGAGGAACACCCCAGTTCTGCCCCTTCTTTCGTAATATGGAGGAAAAGATGAAAATGCTCATGTATAGAGGGCCATTATACCCCCTCGGGCCATGAGCAATTCTTTTCTTAATATGGAGGAAAAGATGGAAATGATCATGGCTAGAGGGTATTATCCCCCCTCGGGCTATGGGCAGCTTACGACATGCGCCTCAGCTAAGGCGCTAGCTTAGGGTTGGTCTGCTTTGCCGTAGGTGAGATGTCTAGGTCCCATCTTGCTTAGGTGCCTGGGCAGGCTTTTTGGCATAGTGCTTCATGTTTTTTAATTTGCAGTTGAATTAGACCTTGTCCGGGGGACTCTCGTACCTATTAATTTATGAAAATTTTTATTGAGAAAATATGTAACATGATCCATATAGCCTTTGATGCAGATAAATATTGGGAAAAATTCAAAATTGTTATTTTATTATTTTTTGAGTTTTTTAGGAAGTGCGCATAGATAAGGTCGGGCGGGAGTTTTAGTAGGATTGGGGATATGGTTGATTTTAATATTGGGCAAAGGATATAGATCTCCTATTGTGATGGATTTGGGAGATTTACCTAGAGATTTAGATAGGGATGGATTTATGGGGAAATAGGATGGTGTTGGGAGAGAGAAAAAATGAGAGAAAAAATAGGGAGGAGAGAGAAAATAAGGAAAAGTTCGTGAAAGTTAGAGAGAGGTGTCCTTTTTAGTTATTTGTTTTAAAGTCTATTTAAAAGGGAAGAGGTCCCTCATAGTTAAAAGATTAGAGAAAGATCAGAGAATGATTAGAGAGAGTTGAATAAAATTGATCTTGTGATAAGATCTTTTTGGGGTGGATTTTCTTGCAGACTTTGTTTTTGGGGTGGATTCCCTTGTTGACCTTATTTTTGGAGTGGATTTCCTTGCAGACCTTGAGAGAGGGTTTATTCTCTCAACCGTTTTTCTTTTTTTATTTTTATTATTCTGGTTGTTATTTTCTCCCTGCATCAATTGGTATCAGAGCTCTAAGATCTGTGCTGATATGGAGAGCCTTGAGATATGTGATCTAATTATGGAAGGTGTTCGAAAAAAAGTTCGTGACATGAATCAACGGTGGTAGTGATTGGATCAAAGATTCGAGAGACTCAAAGAAGACCTAGTAGAACGTATTAGCAAAGTAGTAGAACAAGGTCTACGAGATTTCTTTCATAGATTACGATTAGAACAAGAGGAAGAAGAATATGAAGAGTTAGGTATCGATACACAAGGCGACGCCGATGTGCAAGAAATTTTGAATATCTATTGTGAAGAAATAGAAGAAATTTTGAAAATCAATTATGAAGAAGAAGATATGTGTGATGCAGTATTCGAAATCCAACGAAATGAGTTTGAAGGAGAAATCAAGATTGAGTATGAAATCACCATGTTCTGACTCGAGATAAGTATGAAGCATTCGATGAATCGGCTTAATGAAGGAATTGAAGAAATGGTGCCGAGGCGCATGGTGGGATTACATCACCAATTAGTAGTGGGTGATTGGATTCAAGCTCGAGGTTGAGCTTCTCCCAACCCACCTGGGGAGAGTGACGCAAAAAAAATTGGGAAATATTCAAAATTGTAATTTTATTATTTTTTGAGTTTTTTTAGGAAGTACACATCGATAAGGTCGGGCAGGAGTTTTAGTAGGATTGGGGATATGATTGATTTTAATATCGGGCAAAGGATATAGATCTCCTGTTTTGATGGATTTGGGAGATTTACCTAGAGATTTATAGGAGATTTAGATAGGGATGGATTTATGGGGAAATAGGATGGTACTGGGAGAGAGAAAAAGTGAGAGAGAAAATAGGGAAAGAGAGAAAATATGGAGGAGAGAGAAAATAGGGAAAAGTTCGTAAAATTTAGAGAAAGAGGTCCTATTTAAAAAGGAAGAGGTCCCTCATTGTAAAAAGATCAGATAATGATCAGAGAGAGTTGAATAAAGTTGATCTTGTGATAAGATCTTTTTGGGGTGGATTCCCTTGCAGACCTTGTTTTTGGGGTGAAGTTCCTTGCAGACCTTGAGAGAGGGTTTATTCTCTCAACCGTTTTTCTTATTTTATTTTTATTATTCTGGTTGATATTTTCTCCCTGCATCACCTTTCTAACAAGAATGACCATTTGGAGTATTGATGGATTGGGTGATGGAGGGAGAGCAGGACGTGAAATTCAATAGATGACATCTTTGTGGCACCCACACTTCTCGATCAATGTCCATCCCAATGATGGGATAGTAATGATCTCATGGTTAGGGACTGATAATGACCAAATGGGTTACATTATATGTGCCATTTTGTTAATTTGTTATAAGATGCACACTGTTATCATTGGTTTGTTCCTTGTGATGTGTGCTTGAACTGGTTTTGTCACTTATGATATTTTAATGATAAAAGCTTTATAGTGAATTTGTGGGTTTGTTTTTTTTCCTCTAATAAGTCCTATCCTATATTCCATCTAAGCTTGATTATCTAAATTCTTTATTCTAATTATGGTGTGAATTTTTTAGTTGCAGATCAGAAACAACTTAAATGCCTGCAAAGGAATTTATGCAACACCAAGAAGGAATTTATGCAACACCAAGAATAAACATTTAATTGCAAAGCATATAGAGAAATCATGACCTATTGAATACTTTTTAACTGTATGTTATTTTTTGTTGGCAATGTTGGTTTTTGGTTGCTATGAGCTGAAGCATGATCCAGATCTCCTGTTCTACAGATGGGGTCAAGTTTTCATATTGGATGCTCTTTCGAGATACAAGGCATCTGATGCCCGTGACGCTGAAAATATTGTGGAACGGGTTACTCCACGTCTTCAACATGCAAATTGTGCAGTTGTACTATCTGCTGTCAAGGTGAATTCCTAGTCTGTGTAATTATTGTTCTGAAATAGATTTAATCAATGAGGATAATCAATGAGGATTATCATGTGCAATAGTTATGAGAAAACAAAACTCCGGAATTGTATAATACTTAAATAACCTTGAGTCACCCCCTGAAACAACTAATCTGATCAAGTTTAATCATACTTTCAAGACAGCAAGAAAGAAAAATTACTTTTTAATAATATCTTCATATCAAGTTTTGTGAATTGCATTTTAATCTAATAATATCAGATTGAGATGCTTGACAGGCTTCCAACATCTCATTATTTTCTTTAAGTGTTTGCACAATTCGAATCTACTTCCTTTATTTGGCAAAAAAAAAAAAAGTAGAATAAAGGAAATAAATCTGCTTTACTAACATGTAAGACAAGGCTGAGAAGTTCACCACTCTCGCATGGATCTTACCTTTTCTTCTTGGTCCAAACAAGACTTCCCTATTTTATTCATTATGTTTAGACACGGGGTTCTGTTCATTCTAACTTTCTTAAGTTCTACTGTCATTACTTTATTCATTTGTGTCATTTCTGTGCACAGGGAATCTATTTTCTCTCTAAAGTAACATTGACTAGTATCCTTCAGTTAAGTGGTTTCTAAGATGTATTGCGAAGTACATAATAAAAATAACTAACAGAGGAAGAACCAAGAAAGAAGGTAAGTGTTAAGTTGGAGAAGTATCGGCATTAAGAAGAGAACTCGCCTTCATTGAGATTACGACTTTGCAACTTGAATTTGCTCACTCTGAGTGAATGAATATAGGAGAGGAACTCCTTGTACCCTAGCATGAAAGTATTTTTAATGATCGTTTGCTTCTTTGGATACGTTGCCTCTTTACAGGCCCATGGTGGATGTCCTCCACAATGAGGGGCTTGAGAGAGTGAAAGAGGACTTGAGGATACCTCTATGGGATCATAAGAATGTACAGGCCGTGTTTGCAGGAAATTGTTCCCTACGAAGTCCTTTATACTATCTTTTAGGCCAATTGGGCTGCTAATGATACCTTACTTTTATGGTCTTTATGTTTATGACTGTATGTGAATTAATAGCCTTTTATGTTGATATGGGCCATGGGGATTACTTGCTGTGTATGGGGACTACTAAGAAACTGTAGTCTTCATCGTGGTCATCCGAGGATGCTACAGTTCTGGGCTTCCCATGGCTGATCTCAATGGAGAGTCAGTATCTACAATGACCAGAGGGGCATAGTTAGATTCCTTAGCATGGCTCAGGGAACATGGCTGGTTATGATCCGGTGCTGTTACTGCTGGAGGATAGGGGGCATAGGTTGGCTTTTCTTACCTTTTGTCTGGTAAAGCTGAGATGCTATCTGGGGTAAGTATTAATTTTTGGTAGACATCTAGAGGCTTTCTGGGTTCAACCAGCCAGTCTTCTTGCTGTGGAACCTGTCTGAGCCCTGAGCTGAGTCTGGGTTTTAATGCTTTGCTGCTTGTCGAGCTTTGCACTATGCAAGCTAAAAGCTCTTCCTCTTCTGAGTCATTCCCCCACAGATGAAATTGGTAAACATGGGATCTTATTGTCTTATTGCATTGAAGTGCCCATTTTTATGATGAGCCCAATTTCCTAGTTTGTACAAGTTGTGCTTGATGTGACTCTCCTTAAAAGGCCCTCAGAGCTCCTTATTGGGAGGCCTAGGTGTGCCAATAGCATTTGACAAATCCCTCATGATTTTTCCTTTTCCAAACTCAGAAGAAACCGTTATAACTGTAACACCTGTTTTTGATATTCATTCTCTTTATTCATGTGACTTTGCCTGGACGACATTTTACTGTCGAATGGTTCACGTTTTCATTTATCAAACTTCTCTTGTGCCATTTGATGGTTGGGAAGGATTACTCATTTAAGATCCCCATCTTCAGGTTATGTTCATATGGAGCATCATCTGACTTGCTCAAAACATCCAATACCCTTGCAAGGCAATGGCCAGCCTCCCTAGACTGCAGATGGAGGATCACAAAACGAGTCTTACTTGTACTGGACTGGAGGTTTGAATAGCAAGTGTCAGCTTGGAAATTGGATCACAGTTCCTATGACATGGACACTTGTGGATCTCTGTTTACGGCCTTTTATATGAACTTATGAGACCCTACAGTTTTCTTGCATTTATATTTTGGGGAAGATCCACTTGATAAGTGAAACTGCTTGCGTTTTCTTCATCAGACCTTGTCAGATCATAATGCTTAGAGGGAGCCAAATCTTCTCATTTAGCTATAAGCATAACCATTTATAATAGCGAATCATATTTTTAAGAGAAATGTTTCTGACAGACTGTTATTTATCAGCATTAAGTATTTTGTGAATTATTGACTGCGGTAGGTGTTAATCCTTCTGAATTTGTTTGTATTTGTGGATGGTTCTATGTTTGCTTTGAGGGTGACCTCTGATTGATCTCTCTTACGACAGTCTTCCACTCTCACTTGACAAATATCGCCAATGGCTTTTGTTGTTGCAGATGATCCTCATGCAAATGGAACTGATCACTAGCACTGATGTGGTCCGCAATCTCTGCAAAAAGATGGCTCCTCCATTGGTGACACTTCTTTCTGCTGAACCCGAGATACAATATGTTGCATTAAGAAACATTAATCTTATAGTACAAAGGCGACCAACAATACTTGCACATGAGATAAAGGTGATTTTTGTTTGTTTCTTGATTTAAATAAACATTTCTTCAAATTCTAGGTGTTTTATGAATTTAATGAGTTTTCTGCAACATTGTATGGCAGGTGTTCTTTTGCAAGTATAATGATCCAATATATGTGAAAATGGAAAAATTGGAAATAATGATAAAGCTTGCTTCTGATCGGAACATAGACCAGGTATTGGAGCATAGCTGACTGGCTTTCTGCTCAGATTGTTGTGAATTGAACTCTGATGTACCTACTGATGTGATATCCTTTATTAGAATATTTAGTATGCCTTTTTAAGGTATTATCATTATGCAAATGCCTTTCTTCTACTTTGGATGATAATACATTTTATTCTTCGGCAGAAGGTATCCATGAAGAAGCCCCACCTTCAGTAGTAGTTGTTGTTGTTGGTGTATAACCATGAATTTTGTTGTTTATAAATTTATTCTGTGAGGATGAGGTATATTCTATACCGGTGTGCCTCTAATTTCAGCCCTTCTGGAACCTCCTATAATCATGTCAGCAGATAGTTGACTGATGGACACAACTAAAATTTCTCTGCTACCTTTCATTATTGGCTGGTTTTCTTCTTGCCAGGTTTAAGCAGTAGCATTTGTATTTCATGTGAAGACAATTATCAGATAAACATGAATTGTTTTTTATATCCTGCTTAGATCAAATGGTAGTTTTGGTTACAAATTAGTGGATTTTTGTATCATAGGGATTCTTGTTATTCTTTGGTGATGATGTTCTTATGCAGGTTCTTTTGGAGTTCAAGGAATATGCCACGGAAGTAGATGTAGATTTTGTTAGAAAGGCTGTCCGAGCTATTGGACGTTGTGCAATAAAGTTAGAAAGAGCAGCTGAACGGTGCATTAGTGTGTTGCTTGAGTTGATAAAGATCAAAGTAAACTATGTTGTGCAAGAGGCTATTATAGTCATCAAGGACATTTTCAGACGGTACCCAAACACGTGAGTTCTTGATCTCTTTTCTGGTTGGGTTTCTTAAGGGATTGTCTTCCTGTCATTTCGAAAAGGAGATTGATTAATTTCCTCTTTCTATGTTTAAACATTCAATATGCCATTTTGCAGTTATGAATCAATCATTGCAACCCTTTGTGAAAGTTTAGACACATTAGATGAGCCAGAAGCGAAGGTGCTTCCTGTTTTCTGATTCTTTTCTTTTTCTTGTTAATTAATAATTGCTTTTTTCTAATTCTTTGGATGAAATGATGCAAACTTTGGATGAGTTTCCTTTTAGGGCCTTTTTCTTAATCTTGTATATTGATTTGTATGACATGATCTCTGCAGGCATCAATGATCTGGATAATTGGTGAATATGCAGAAAGGATCGACAATGCTGATGAACTTCTTGAGAGCTTCCTAGAGAGTTTCCCTGAGGAACCAGCACTTGTCCAGCTTCAGTTGTTGACAGCAACTGTCAAGTTGTTTCTCAAGAAGCCAACTGAAGGTCCACAGCAGATGATTCAGGTTTAAGCTTTCTCCTTGTGCTTAAATTCATAATAATTCTACTACTCTGTGGTTCACTGAGATGTATATACTAAAAAGATCTCTAAACACATCTGTGAGTTATTCTCCATTGTGGTTTTATTTCAAATTCTAGTGTGTATATTGTATGTTGATATAGAGCTTCTTATAAAGGATTTAGAATGCTTATTGACATGATCCTCCAGAGGTCTCAATTATATTGTTGCATTTATGTACTTTTTAGGCTAATCTACTTATCCAGTCAGCACTTCATGACATGGATCTCTGCTATTCTAAATTATTTGATCGGGATTTTGTTATTGCCACTTCGTAAACCATAGCCCTCAGCTGCTGTATTGATGACAAATGCTCTTGTGAATCTTTGTTTTTGCATTTGAGTCCAGTGCTTCTTTGTTCATTCTTAATTGATCCCTTTGAGTTTGTGGTGGTCCTATAATTTTTTTTGTGCTACTAAAATAGCACTTACAAGTGTTCACAATATTGTATGACAAAATATTACAAAAAGTCTTTCCATGCAACTCTGAGATACAGTACTTTAATTACTTTTTTGCTTGTTTGGTCTACAAACTGCATATTATTGCTTTAGCAGTTTTGATAGAAACCTCAGTGTTTTATTATGATTAAAATGCTATGAAAAATATTATAAAGTTAGAAGTGAAAAACATAGAATATTTAAGAAAATATAATGATCTCTGACTTAGACATTCCCATTGATCTACTAAGTAGTTAAATAGTTCTGCACATTCATTTTAATTTTTTGCAATCGTCATCATGATGATGTAAAATGCCATATCCACCACAAATCCATGATTCACAGTCAATATAAAAAATATTCAATTGATAATATATTCACCTGGAAGAAATATTTGATTGATAATATTTTAATAGTTATATCAAGTCAATTTTGATGTTTTCCTTGACGATTGTCATTAATGTCTTCACCATTGCATTCTTTGTCCTCCTCATGCCTTGGACACACACTCATACTGCCCGTCTTCTTTTTTTGATTTATGATCTCTTTCTCTCTCTCTCTCTCTCTCTCTCTCACAATCCATCCTGTTCACATGCAGGTTGTGCTTAACAATGCCACTCTGGAGACAGACAACCCAGATCTTCGTGATCGTGCATATATTTATTGGCGCCTTTTATCAACAGATCCTGAGGTATGCTTAGACTATTGCCATCCCTGTACCACCACTTTACAATGGATGACTAACGAATCACCTTAATGGAACTCCAGGCTGCCAAAGATGTAGTTTTAGCTGAGAAGCCGGTGATCAGCGACGATTCAAATCAACTCGATCCTGCACTTCTTGATGAGCTGCTTGCAAACATTGCCACACTTGCATCGGTGTACCACAAACCCCCTGATGCATTTGTTAGCCGTGTTAAAACGTCTATCCAGAGACCAGAAGAGGATGAAGAATTTGATGGGGTTGATGCTGGGTCCTCTGAATCATCCGTTCATGCTGTTGACAATAGTTCATCTCCCTCTGTTTCAAGTAACGTTCCATATGCTTCTACAAGGGAGGGAGCACCGGCAGCCCCTGCTCCTGCACCAGCACCTGTGCCAGATTTGCTTGGTGATCTGATAGGTCTTGATAATGCACTTGTGCCTGTTGATCAACCTGCTGTGGCTTCTGGGTAAGGGTTGGAGACCGTGTAATCTCCTGAGTCTAAAATATTCTGTTATCTGATGAATTGTGGAAAACCTGTAGTTGTCATCCATTAAAATGATGGATGGTGATGGAGTATGGGACCTGCTAAGATAAGACTTCAGTGGTGTGTCCCACTCATCATCTTTGTCCATCACTTTTTAATGCATGGTGATGGATGAATTGTGGAAAACCTGTAGTTGTTATCCATTAAAATGATGGATGGTGATGGAGTATGAGACCTGCTAAGATAAGACTTCAGTGGTGTGTCCCACTCATCATCTTTGTCCATCACTTTTTAATGCATGGTGATGGATGACCCAATGGACTTCGATTTTCCAGTACTCCATTTTACTATGCTATGCCTTGCCTCCTTTTAACATTTTTATCTTAGAAATAGTACTTGGGAAAGTTTTAATCTTTGAATAACTTATAGTAAGAGTTCTAGGGTACGAAGTTTGTTCTACAAACTGGATTTCATCTTATTCATTTTCTTTGTTGCTATGCTTCTGCAGACCTCCATTGCCTGTTTTACTTCCATCCTCTTCTGGTCAAGGTTTACAAATCAATGGCCAACTTACAAGACGTGATGGTCAAATATTTTACAGTATAATGTTTGAAAACAATTCACAAATTCCTCTTGATGGGTTCATGATACAGTTCAACAAAAATACATTTGGTCTTGCAGCAGCTGGACCTCTGCAGGTATTATTTTCTAATGCTGAATTCTTCTTCAAGTTCTTTATGGTTAGCATTTACCATCGTGGTATGGGCTTAGCACAGTAAATCATTAAATTTGGTAGGTACCACAATTGCAACCTGGTGCTTCGGCAAGGACTCTGTTGCCAATGGTGTTGTTCCAGAATATTTCTCCGGGGCCTCCAAGCTCACTTTTGCAGGTTGCAGTAAAAAACATGCAACAGCCAGTGTGGTATTTTAATGATAAAGTATCATTGCAGCCATTTTTCACTGAAGATGGTAGAATGGAGCGTGCAAATTTCCTTGAGGTAAGTGAATGCGAATCCTAAGAGTCTTGGGTTGCTTGTCTTCTTTGGTGATATGCCTGCCTTATCTTCTTTTTGAGCTTCAATTCTTATTTTCTTCTGTTTGTTATGCAAAAAATTTGTGGCTTTATAGTTTGGATGCACAAACTGAAATGTTCCTCACAAGTCGCTTGAGGATGTATTTGTTGTTTTGTTTCTTGACTGATAATTATATAATGGAGCACATTGCAAAGAAAGGACCTGGCAACTGAACAGAATCATGATAATTGACTCTGCGACGTCATTTCTTGCAAGCTCAAAACCAGCTGTTAATCTGATATTACAATTGCACTTCTCGAGGAGGCGTATTTGAGGTTTTTCAACTTCAGGAGGAAGTTAGCTTTAATTAGCTTTAGGGGTTATTTCACTATTATGATAAGTTGGGCTTTTCTTCTGGTACTTTGTGTGCTCTGTTCTATGCTTTTGATCTTTGACCAAAATATTTGGCTTTCAGGGTGCATTCCTTGCAACTGTTGCTATGTTCGACTATCACTCACTTATGTTCAGAGATTAGAAGCTTGGAAATGACCTTTTAGCAATTTATGGAAATCGCTGTTCCTTTACATAAATGGGGGTTGAAGCTGAATCGTGCTGTTTTACCTAGGTTTAGTGGTTGGTGGATCCAGGTTGATGGCCACTGGAGTCGCCTGATTTTCACCCAAATTTTTTTTTAATTTTTTCCTGATCTGGATCACCCAACTTGGCTATCCAAATCTATTCAATGGAGGGCTGATCCAAAACCTGATTCCAGGTTTTAAATACTTGTTTGAGGTATCCATACTAGGTTGCTAAATGGCTACATTGCAGAAACTTTTGAAGGGTTGTTGAGCAGAAGGTAGTGATGATCGCTTTGATTATCAGCTTATTAGCAAGCTGAGGATAGTTAAAGGATCTCTTGAGGATATGTCGTGATGATATGGCAATATGACGCTAGTTAAATCAATTACACAAAATGTCAGGCTCATTGCTACTATATGAGCTTGTTCATACATAGAATTGTGGTGAAGTCTAGCGTTCAAACTTTGAACCTCGAAATCTCAAACGAAGCATGTGGACTTTCCCAAGCCTCTGCATATTCTAATTTGGGTGCTAAACAAAATATTGTTGCTGTCTCTGATGTGAATGTTCCATCATAGTCACTAACCTTGAGAACGTATGGGTGGGTGATAAAGGTTAAATTTAACATCCTAAAAGATGATAATATTATAAAAGGGAAATCATGCTATAATCCTAGGGTTCTGTCACCTTAAGCCTTTTGGTCAGCATCATGCAATGCAATGATGAATGGTGATGGATAGATAATTAAAACCAAAACTACGGTCATGTCTTACTGTGATCTTATTCTCTCCGTTATCATGATGCCTTAAGGTATATGCGTTTTCTGTGGAACTCGGAATTAAGCACACTTTCCCTACTGCAAAGTCTCTTCCCCTGATTGAAAAATTTAATCTTTCTGCGGCAACCAAAAAAGATGTTCATAGCCTCTGGAGAGAAGTGTTTTGAAAGTTACTCCCATCTGAATGCATTTGTTTTATTTATTTTATTGTTCTGGTATATGCAGACATGGAAATCACTGCCAGATTCAAATGAGATTGTGAAAGAGCTGACAGCTTCTTTGATCAACAATGTCGATGTCACTCTTGATAAACTTGCTGCTTCCAACCTGTTTTTCATCGCAAAACGCAGGCACGCCAATCAAGAGGTTCTCTATCTCTCTACCAAGATCCCTGGCAACATCCCCTTCCTTATTGAGCTTACCACCACTGCTGGGATCCCTGGAGTAAAATGCGCAATCAAGACACCCAACCCTGAGATGGCCCCTCTCTTCTTTGAAGCCATGGAAGCCCTTCTCAAGTGATGCGATCTTCCAAGTAACATGCTTTTGTAGCATGTGTTACTCACACTATTGTGCCTTTTGTGTAGTCTGCTTTGCTTCTTGGTCCAAACAGCCTGGAAGGTTTTTTGTTAATCTTTGCTTGCCCAGCGCCAGCTCGAAAGATTTTGAGTTGAAATTTGTTGCGAAAGATCTCGAAGAAATTTTTGAGTTTGGTTTGAAGGTTACCATTGTATCCTTGTCCGTTGAATTGCTTTAGTTCGGCATGAAGGTTTTCATTGTATCATTATTAGTGTCGCTAGCTCGCTCTTTCTTCTGTATGTGATCATATTGATGGCGTTGCAAGAACCTTTAGACATGCTATGATTCTGGCTCATGGCTAAAGGGTTAAGGTGTTGCAGCACAATGAATGAGGTTTCGATCTTACTGTTGATCTTAACAAAGAAGGATAAAAATCTAACATAAGAATATCTGATTAATGAAATGAAAGAGAAAATACGACGGAATGAGGTTTCGATCTTACTGTTGATCTTAACAAAGAAGGATAAAAATCTAACATAAGAATATCTGATTAATGAAATGAAAGAGAAAATACGACGGAAAGATTGCAGCAGGCAAGCTAAAGAAAAGGAGGAAAGCAATTGAAGGAGGGCATGTTTGCTTGCACGGACCACCATGTTGTGCAATTTATCATCGTTTTTTCTTTCTTATTCTTTTCTTTTGTTTTTTTGGGGTAGTTGCAATTTATCATACTGAGAACTCAAATCACCTTCCATCTGACCTGTGCAATTTATCATTATCGGAGCCAGTCATTTGGAATACCCTTGATTCATTCTTTACACTTTGGATCAAGGGAGCGTTCCATGTATTGGTTTTTGAATGGCAATTGCTCATTAATAGTGCATACCAAACAAGACCCGATCGGGAAAGTGTCTTATTGTTAACCACGATGATCACAATTTTTTCTTTTGGTTAATGTGTATGGGCACTACTTAATGTCCTAGGCTCAAAGCTTAAGATAAATCATCACACCATCATGATCAAAATGGTAATGAAAAACAGTCATTTGTACAAGTACATTGCTTGTGCCAAATTTTTTATGATGTTCATTTATCCGTCACTATCCTTCAATTATTTGCCTTCTATTTCAATTGTTATGATCACAAGAGTGAAAAAAGAAACAATTATTATGATGAGGAGAATACCACGAATGAAAATAGGAAAATTTTATTGGATAGTATGATGTGGAGAACATCACCAATGAAAATAGGAAAATTTTATTGGATAGTGGCCCTCTTGAGAGTTTTCTCCTCTGCAATCCTATGGCCTTACTCTCTAAAAGAGATTCATATTAGTGATGCTCAATTGAACTCAATAATCGCTTATAGTCACATTAGTGTACTTCCTTTTATGTTCTTTCCTATGTAACGTGGTCGTTAGCCACTTTCATACAATTCACTCAGACTGAAAGCCGCATTCAATATTGTGGCATTTCTTCATAAAATATCTTCATAAAATATCAATAAAATATGTTTTTTTCTTGAACCTCATATAAATACAATAATTTGTCTGTGAAATCTCATGTCCCTATAAAATTACAAAATATTATCAGCAAAGATTCTACCCAGTTTCAGACTATCTTGGAACCTATGCCAACATATAACAAGAAATAGGCAATAGTGTGCCATGTGTGGTATAGCATCATTGCATGGCATAAATACCACTTTGCTAATAATCTTTGACAAGTTTGTTTTTGAAATATTTTTACATGAAAGGATTTTTTCAGGTGGTTAGGTGTTAGAATATTTTCACATCAATTGGTCCTATTGCATTTTTCATGTCAATTGGTGTGAACATATATCCACACCTAACTACATGAGAGAGTTTTTCACGTGAATTCATTTCCCGAAAATATTTGCACACGAACCAAATGTGACTTTAGTGAATAGTTGAGAAACAAGACACTTAGTATGGGGAATATGAAATTGATTAAATCGAGATTTGAATAGTTGAGAAACAAGACACTTAGTATGGGGAATATGAAATTGTTTAAATCGAGATTTGGAACATGTGGCACCGAGTGTTTGAATGACCACCAAGTCGGTTCAAAATTCATCAAATCAGATTGGGATAAGGAGGTAGATGATTCTAGTTCAAGGAACACTAGAATCGCCCCTATTTTTCTAATTTTTTGATTTTAAATATCTTTGTTATACATATACACTCAATAGGGCTAGGCAGGAAGACACTTGGTATGACCAAAAATGACCGGTTAGTTATCCATATACACTCAATTCGACTTATTTTATCCGGTGAACAAGTTGAACTAATTCCTACAATTTAAACATTGTTATGACCAAAAATGAACTTGTCTTAAGTGAGACTAAAGACACTTGGCATGACCAAAGATGACTGGTTAGTTGTAAAGTTGGTGTTTATAAAGTAAATTATTTCCCCATCCAATTTGTCAATAGCAATAAAGTTATGGGCATACATTGTTTTCAAAATCAGTAGTAGGTGCGGTACAAAGAATGAAGGGCATTCGTTGTTTTTCAAAGTTAGCAGTAGGTGCGGTACAAAGAGTGAAGTACAATGAACATAACACGACATGTACTACGCACCCTCCATGCTACTACCCCATGTACATCATCTCAAAATCATCACATATATATAAATGGCACCACTGAACTATTCACTCATTTTATTATGATATCTGATGAAGCCCAAATTCGAAGAAGCATCAGAATGGGGAAGTCTCAACAGGAGCGATATGAGAACACACAATCATATGCATAAATATTGTGTATGTGTGTGTGCACGTGTGCATGTGCATGTGCGTGCTTGTGTGTTCCCAGGTCGCCCCTGCCGAGCCTGCCCATATCTATAAATAATTCTTCTTGCTGCTGCCTACAATAATGGTAATCATGGTTGATAATTTATCCTTTTCCTGTTTTATTTTCATTAGATTGCAATTTTGCTGCATAAGACTCTGAATATGTTATATGCTTCAATGCAAGCATAATGTACGTTCACTCCCTTTTATGAGATGGCTACTTAAGATGATAATTTTCCGATCTAAAATTTGGATCTCGTTCAAAACATCATATAATTCGGAATTTAATTTGATTATTCGAGAAGTTTTTAGTTCCTAAACATTTGGAACATTATTTTTGAAGGTGTATTGAGATATTGTTTCTTTTTCCTAATTCTATTCCCATTTTTGTTTTTTTGGTTGGTCCCCAATTTAAAGAGATTATATGCGGCAAAATTCGGGGGATTAAAAATACTTCTAAATTGGGTGTTACTAGAGAGGATGAACGGAGAAAATACCAATGTGCAAGCATAAACATGGGTTTGATCATAGTCAATCATCTACACAGAGTGGTCCATATCCACTGTCCGATTTTTGAGGAGACAATGGATGTCCTGCTCTGTAGCTTTTAGCAACACATTCCCTCTTGAAAATTCTTGCTGTAAAACTAATAAAGGGATTATCTGTACATTGTATTCCAACGGAATAGTGCTTTGAGAGCCTATTCACCGTTCGTTTTCAATGATGAAGGGACACAAATTATCCATTCTTAAAAGTGTTTTGCCTTGGTTGTGGATTTGCCCTTTGTGATGGGGATGTCTTTTGGAGTAAAGTGTACTACACTGGATTGTAATAATAAATATAGACTAGCATTACATAACTGGCCCGAGCCCACTCGAACTTGCCCTATGTGCGTGGCCTAGTCCACCTTATTGAGCAAAACATTACAAAAAGAATAAAACAATATAAAAAAACTGGAAAACAATATTGGTGGTTTCTAAGGTGATCTAGGATCTTTCATTTTTTTTTTCTTTTTCTTGAAGATCTAAGTGAGAAATTTCACTGTCTTTTTTATTTTTTTTTTAAACCTCTGATGATTTCTACTGCCTCTTTTGTGTTCATTTTGTTTCGATTTTTTATTTATTTATTATTATTATTATTATTTTTAATAACATTGTTTTGGTTGTGGAGGAGGAATTTGACTTGGACTCGACTGAGTCACTCGGCTCGGCCAAGTCTCTTTGTCGAGTTTTTAAACACTGATCAGACCCGCTTATGTGAATTCTATCGGATTTTGGGACTGACCCTGTAAAAGTTTTGGGAACATACAATTTGCATTACACCCAGCACAACTCTCGACTGTCCATCAAACGCTGCATCACACAGACGAATACCTAGGATCCCTTCCTGGGAGAGGATACTATGATGTGATCATGACAACCAAATGATCATTTGGGTTATCACCTTCCAGTCCACAGGCTGGATGGTGATCAAGGGAATATGGCATACATCGAAATTAGGGACATGTGTGGTGGGACAGATTCCTATGCATTGTGGTCCGATTGGATGGTGAAGATTTACACGACAATACTGTATCCATGATTATATAGGTCATGGAAGAGGTTTTGCTTTAAAAAGAAAACACCCCAACTAATCTAGATTAGGTTAAAGAAGATAGTGCCAAATTTAAGAGTGCACTCTTCAGTGGAATGAGCTCTGTGCTATAACTAACCGGAAGAGAGAGCTATAACCAATAAAAAGAAAGAGAAAGTTAGGTGTTTGTTGGATTTGGAGTCTACTCTTTTTGGGTACAGGGGCATATATGATATTTTCAGCATTTATATTGGCTAAAGATAAAAGAATTCCATTAAATATAGGATTTCTAATTGGGGATAAGATTCATTTGATGAAATATTATCCGAGGTAAGATAACCCCTTTTAGATTGCCTTATGAGGCATTTTTTATTTAAAAGTTGTTAAAGAGAGAAAAATAGGAACTTCACGTGTACGAATCTCTCAAAAATATATAAATACCTTGATTTCTTTGTGAAATTTTTCGATGGGGCACATTTTTTTGTTGTTTTTTGAATATTAACACAAGACTATTATTAACTAAAAACCGATAGAATTACAAGGGGATCAAGCTACAAAAAAGACCATCACAAGAAATTGGTAAGTTGGTAATCATCAATGAGGATTGAAAGGCACCTAACTTGACTAAATTGGTAATCTGCTTCAACATTTGCTTCACGGTAGCAATGGTGTATTCCAAACTCAATAGAATGAAGAATACCACCAATTTCATAAAAAATAGAAGAGTCTCCAAATAAATCTTGCTTCTCCTTTACACTATGCTATAATATTTGTTGAATCTCCTTCAATAACCTTTCATCCATCCAATTTTGAGAGCAATTTAATTCCCTCCAATTTTGTGCTCTGCTCAGACCATCATCATGCGTTGCAGATGGTATTCA